ATAAACATTTCGTGAGCATTCTCTAAATTTATACATACTTAGAAACGTAAAATTTGTTGCCAGTACCTCTTTCGGTAAGAGGAACAATTTTTATAGGCGCCTCAATTCCTATCTGGGAAACAATTTGTTTGGACCACTCTAATATAGGTACACACATAGTAGTTATGTAAGCAAGTAAAAGAAACTTTAAACAATCCATATAATGTAGCAAAGAGTTTCTATCTTGCATGCGCGTTCATTTTATGCAACTTGATTTTATGCTTCATTTGTGTAGTTAGATATATGTAAATATACATACATACATACGTACGCACGAACATAACATACGTGCGCATACATATATGTACATAAACACATAAAATCCACGCAAATTGTGAATTAGAGTCAATTTTTATCCTCTCTGCTTCTCGTTTCGTTCTTGTCCTACTAATTTGAATCAGCTTCTTAAGATGCCATTTTCCGAGCCAATTGCTATTTATTTTGCCATCAAGTTATCGAAGGCTTTGAGGCGCCGCTGTTACTTTGAGGAAACTCATTTGAAATTCAAAGTAGTAAGCGCAGCTCATTTAAAAAAAGTAGTAAATACATACGGATACATACTTATGCACACCCAGAAAATGTCAACTAAATATATTTCTCTCAACACATGATTTGGTAACTATATTATATAGTTCACACGGAATACCTTCATAGCTAAAAGTACCAATAGGAGAAAGTATTAATAATCATACGTTTTATTTTTTTGTTTTATTTTTGCGTTATTGATATTTATGTTTGATTATATGCCACACACACAAATGTACATACAATCTCGACGGATGTGATAAAAACTTTGACTTTGAAAAAGAAACACAGCACGTACATACGTAATCATTTCAGTTGCGTTGATCGATTCGCGTTATTCGGTAATTTAATATTTCGGGGCGAACAGTTAATCAGAGAATAATTGCAATCAAGCAAAAGGGTACATACATATATATTTACTTATCTACATATGTAATTCTTTATGTTATCTGGTGGTATTTTGCTTTGTTGCTTATTTAAATAAATTTAATTTTCTCCGGTCAAAATGCAGTGTCATGTAGGTATTATTGAGAAGTTACGTGAGTTTTGAAAACAATATGATTTTACAGTCTCTTTTACCACCTTTAGGACCTTTATTACTAGCTATCTGTGTAATTTTCCATTCATATATTTATATGAACAACTCTGTCCTGGACTAGGGTAACAAAATTCTAAGAATGTTTTGAAAAGCTATAGTCGCCCAAAGTTGAGCTCTTTGTTGCGAACACTTTAAAACAAGGAGGGCCCCAGATGAATTCGTTGGAAAAATAGTACCCATGTTATAAAAATTTTCCTAAGGACAACAAAAGCATTTAAAACCACAATTTAAAGTTAACCACACATTCTATAATTTTTTTTATAACCGCAGTAGACAAGTATAGACATTTTCACAAACTTCATGTTACGAGTAGTTTAAAATTATTAATACGCAGAGCTGATTAAATGTTGAAATTGCTAATAGTGCCTTTTTCTTAAAAATGGGTAAGACCACCCCAGCGATGCAAGAGACAAATTTTTATCGTCAATATTTTTTAAAAGCAAGCAAAGTTTGCGTAATCCTTTTAGATGTTTGTTACTTTAGATCAGTTATAGCGAGCTGTGTTGGGCATATCTTTGTTAAAAAAATGTTTTGCACACTTGCACTGGTATACATAGTGTAGGGTGGGTCAAAATCGTCAAATTCATTTCAATAAGATACACCCGTTGCATGCTCACAAGCTGCTGAGCTATTGTGCCATCCAATAAGTATATGTAGACTCTTATCACATGTTTCTTATCGTAGCTGTACAGCAATAAAAATTTTTATACATGATCCCTTTAATTTTCTTCGCTTACGTAGGTACAATAAGCACAACAGCTTCTCATAATGGTAAAGCAGATAAAATCTTTTAATATTAAAAAATACCAGATTTTCGGCTGAAAATGGGATCTGTTAAGACAACATTGTGTTCTGGTCATTGCTTTCAAATACCTAAATTTTTAGCATGCAGGTTAATTTGAAGAAACCTGTCTACATTTAAAGTCAAAATTAAAACTAAAGTTAAATTTAAAGTAAAAGTCATAATTAACTTTTATGTCAACAGCAATATAGCCGGCTATGTTTTGCGTTTAAAACTGTAATTTCTTGGAAACTAGACATCGGATTGAATTCAAATTTCATGATATCCTCAAAAAAAGTGTTTTCCGTCACATTTCCAAGTCTGGTGGCATTGGACTACCTGGGCCGGAAAGTAATGAAAAGTAAGTTTTAATCCGAATAAAATTCTAGAGAATAATGCAAGATATAAATCTGAATCAAATTCTTAAAAAAATACAAGAATGGTATTATAGTAATGGTAATACAGTAAGACAATACTTTGCACACCGTCTTCAAAAGAGTCACAACTCAAAATAACACCATTTTCAGCAAACGCGAAAAACTATTTCTTAGCAAATGATAATCACATGGGCAAGGGCGACTTTACCAAAGGTTCTTTTAAACAAATTATAACAAAAATTTGCTCCAGCTTTAGCTGAAATGTATATAAAAGCTCTGCGTACATTTTTAGCGCATAATCTCAAAAATGTCAAATTTTGAGTTGTGACCCTTTTGAAGACGGTGTGCGACTTGTAAAATAGAAATAAGAAAATGCCAAAGGCTGCTTGGTTGAATATACTGCAAAGCATTTATCTATGTTATCAACGCCACATTTGCTTTGGTTGTAATCGAATATCAATAGCGGCTTCTTCTTAAGACCTTCCTCTTCGGTTTTCTAATACCATCTTTAAAAAAAGACCACAACTGATTTATTATTCTTCACCACGTACTGGTCCATATTTTCAGACCTGAGAATGTTATGGATTCGGAATCAGGCAGTTTGTGGTGGTGGAGCAGCTGAAATTGTTCCTCCTTTGGCTGTATAGTTTCCTCGGTATATCGTCAAGTTCTTCAAGACCTTCCGGGTCGTATTCTGATATTTAGCTCGATTTCTTCTATACCGGAGTCAAGTGGCGTTACATCATCTTCATTATCGTACACAATGTATTCAGATACGAAATGCTTGTCGTCAGTATTTTCCACTCCTAAATTTTCGAACCTCTGGGGAATGTATCCTTACTGTTCTTCAAGATCAAGTGCACTAAGGTGTCGTAGAGTGGACCACTCACCATTTGTAATTTTTACTTTTATAAATTTTCTTTCGTTGCGTATAACTTGGTTTATAAAAACATTATATCTCTTTAGTCTCCAAGTTTGCATTAGATGTATTCAAGTAAATGTTAGAGCTTAAGTTCTTTTTTGCATACAAGTTCTTCAGGTTATTTCAGGTTTTGAACTACGTGATGTAACAAGAAACATCACAAGAATTATTTACGTCTACCTGTAAAAGCCCTCTTTCAATAATCATACAAGTTTGGTACCTTTAAGATTTAGATTGAGATTAAGATTCAGATTAAGATTGAAAGTGATGGACATTAATATTATTACTCAAACTTTTCACTACAGGGACACATGGGATAAACTACAATTTTTTTTCTATAGCGGTTGCCCCTCAGCACGAATTTTTCATGTATTTTGTATGGGGAAAAAACAACTTTTCGTAGAAATGATATAGAATTCTTAAAAATTAATATTTCTCTACCAGAAAACTCTATTTATATGCAGGAGATTGCCAATAATAATACTCAATTGTTTATTTATTTAACCATTTGGTTAATCGCAACTATAATTTATAGGCCTGCCAAAAACCCACCAAAACCCCAAAAAAATGCAATGGGGAGACCAATAAAAAATCGTTAGTATTAAAAAATGGTTAAATAAATAATTGGGTATTATTTATTATTGAAAGTCTCCTGAAGATAACCAGAGTTTTCCGATCGAAAAATATTCATTTTCAAGAATTCCATACCTTTTACACGAAAAGTTGTTTTTCCCCATATAAAAATACATGGAAAATTTAGAGCGCTTTGAGCGATCTCAAAATATTTTCTTAATTCAGAATAACAAAAATAAGGGTATATATTTTACAATTCCGACTTTACTGTTTTGGGACCACCCTAATGTACATTCATACGTATGTATGGATGTAAATAAACTGAATCCGCTCAAGCATCTCTAAACTGCAATAGATAGTCGCACATATATTAATTTGTTATTTATTCTTACTCATTAATTATTATTTTTTGTTTATTTTAACACTCAAACAATGTTAAAAAATAGGTATGCTACCGCCACATACTAGCGTTTATCATCATTCATTTTCGACATTTCCACGCTTATTCGCTAGGTGTAGGTAAGCAAATTCATAAATTTAAATATTTTTTGGTATGTGTATGGTACTCAATTTATGCCGGTGTGCACATCTATTCACGTTCATATAAATACTTATACGTATTGTTTGATTGAATTTAATGTGATTATAATGTTTGTTGTGGTTTTATTGTATTTTTTGTTCTTTCATTTAAAGGCGTGTCTCTTATATTGATGCATCGTTTCGTTTGTTTTATTCTCAAGTAGCTTATCGCTATTTCACGTACCTACACACATAAATGTACATACACACCCTGTGGGAAAATCTCTAGTTCCGAACTGGTGAGCCTCTAGTACATTTAGACCCAGTACTGGTTCGCGATGAATCTCTTTTGCATGCAAAAAACTGACGAATTGAACATGGCGATGTCCTAGGAAGTGTCAATTGACGCCCGCTGCTTCCTTTTCCTATAGTTCCGAACTAGCTCTAAATTCGTCACCTTAGATACAGATTTCTAATGAAAAAAGTGAAAAAAAAATTTTTTTTAAGGTCCACATTTCGCTAATTTTGAACTGTTGAGGATCTAGTTACTATCAGACTGGTTCGTTTTTGGCGATTCCCCTGCAGGGAATGTGCATATATGCAAACATTGAGTATTGCGATCTTAACTGTTGACTATGAAATAGAAACACGGCGCCTACTAATTTCAGTTGTGGTGATCAATTCGCGCAGTACAGTGTTTTGATGTTTCGGTGCAAATATTTATCGAGTGTATAATTGAATTTAATTAAAATTTTTTGTAGGCAAAAATGCAGTCTAACCTCGGTATTATTGACAGGTTACGTTGGCACTTGAAGTGAGTTATGAAAACGATATGAATTTATTAAATGCTATAAAAAGCAAAGAAAAAAAATGTAAATCTGTAAAATGGCTTCAGTGGTTTAAATTCGTCGACAAAATGCAAATAGATCGCCAATCTGTGATATTTGCAAAAACTAATTTTCTCAAGCCAAATTTGTATTTTATTGTATTTTTTATTTTATTAACATAGATTTACGAACTCCCGCTTTGGAACTTAAACGTGACTACAATTTTAAATATATTTGAAGGTCTTTGAAGGACTTTGGCAGGGCTTGAAATTGACCCGATACATTCCAGTTCGGGAATAAATTTCAACAATTTCAAATCCGACAACTCCACAAAATTCGATAACTCGACTAATTTTGATAATTTTCAATAAATATCTATAACCTTGAGTTTCGATATAAATCGATAAAATTTTGATACCAGCATAAATTTAAAACCCGCTTTGCGACACCCCTTAATCGACTCCAATCGTGACCAAAAGCTATATATGATATCGTTGACCATGGTAGTATCGATTTTGGGTGTTAGATGAAAAAAAAAAATTAATTTTAATTTTTTGGTTCTCCAATCGGGACTAAAATTTTTATGTGATGTGTATGACAGTAGTGTTACCAATTGAAGGGGCAAGACTGAAAAAATCGTTCATTTGATTTTTAAGTACCACCCTGATGTACACGTTGAGGTCTACATACGTGTTTTCAACATGATGTTCCTTTATCATAGGCAATGGTTGTGGAAATACCCAAAGAGTGAGTTTTCAAAATCGATTGAAAAAGTTTGACCTTGCTTGTGATACGGTCTGCTGTAGATTAAATCTAACCAGTTAATTAGTACCTACTAACATAACGTAATAATACTTTAAAAATAGATTTTTAAACCGTTTAAATGACTTTAATTGTGTTTGAAAGATAAGAGCCAGTTATGAAAATGATTATGAATAATACATACTTATGTACATATGTCGTACAGATGTATCAACACATTTCAAATGTACATATGTATGTACATATATGGCACGTGAACGTACTTGTGCACGAGTACTTATGTATGTGCTTTTGAAAAAGCAACAAAGCAAAAATCTAGTATCTCTGAGTTTTGTATGTATATATTGTGCATAGGTATGTAGTATATACCGGTTACGGTTTCTGCGACATATAGTATTTATGCACATACGCATCTGAGTTATAAAACATTGTAAATAAATGCGAAAAAAAAGAAAAATAGCTCAGTTAGGCTATTGGTTTTGCAGTCGCAAAAAAGCAATGGTTTGGTATGAAAGATCATTTCAATGAGTAGTTCTCGCTGAAAGCATATCTCAGAAAAAGGTAAAGGAGATATTTTTAAAGAATTTTCGTATTGTTTTCAATGGAAACATAAAACAGATTTTATTTAGACTATGAAAATATTGCTCTGCAACCTGCTATTCAATCAGACCGACCAGTGGAACGAAACATCGATTCTTTTATTAAACTAAATGGGTTACTCATTTAATAGAAATAACAAAAATTCCTGTTAACCTTATTAAAAACTAGTTTGTCTTAACGCGAAATAAGAGCCTTTTAAAGAAAAACCATAACTGCGGTTGTGGTCAGAATAAATGTGTTAAGTTTGCAAGCGAAATTTAATTTTTTTTTGTTTAATCAAATAGATCATCCTTAATTTATGATCAAGGGAAAATTTCGGAATTGACCCTTTCAAACCAGACGTTGACGTGTATTTCGTTTTTAATTTGGTTGGACCCATCACAATGAAAATGGTAGTCGTATATGTCTGTGCAGCCATGTTGGTGAACATTTCTGTTAAAATCCAGATTGCCACCTGGTGACTGACAATAAGCAAGTTTTGCCACTATGATTCCACAACTCGTGACTTCTATAGCCATTATGCGGAAATGGTTTGCTTATTGTCATCTCCTTTGAGTGCGGGTCCTCGCAGCTGTGACAGAAGCTATTGAAGGCTAAGCCAATCCTTTCGACATGTTCCCTATTCACCGCGTGTGACACATTCAATGCAGAGCCGCACCTTGCTAGTTGGTCGGCGGTCTCGTTTGCCTGAATGTCGCTATGTCCGGCATGAATATTAGAGTAATTTCGTATTGATCAGAACTCGAGGCCAGCTCTCTCCAACGGTTATCCACCAGTTGATATCTAACAGAGGTAGGAGAGAATTGCCTCAATTGCCATTTGGCTTTCTGAGAAGATATTCACCTGAGTTCACGCGGGCGCAATCATTTTGAAGCGCCTACAAGGTACGTTTTGTAAGGTTTTATGCAAACACGACTAGGTGGAATTAAGTGGCATTTCTCAAAAGGCCAAACTTAACTTTCCTATACTGATCGTTACAATACTAGGAGCGGTAAATGTTTTTTTTTTTTTT